TTGATGACTATGGGCTAGATGAAGATCTTGGAGTAAATGATGACTATGGGCTAGATGAATTGGAGCGAGATCCTCGGATCATTTAGGTTGATGATTTGGAGATAATGAACTTGTTATTTGTGTCTTGTTGTGATTGTGACTTGTGGTTAGACTTTATGTTGTGGAGTTGTGGTTGAATTGTGTGGTTGCTTTAGGCTTTATGCTCAATTGATTTAGGGGTCGTTTGGAGGTTGAGATTTGAAGTGAGGTATTTAGCAAATACATGTAATGATAAGATTAAGTCGTTTTTTTGGTTCACTTTGAGTTAGAATGCATGTATTACCTTTTTGTTGGGCCGACCTATAATCACTCAAAATGAATGATTATAAATCTCTACCAAAAGGTGAGATTGTTAACAAGGGATTGTCTACCCTACTTTTTGTTTCATCATTGCCCCTCCAAACAAAGTATTTTCCTAATACATGCAATGAATCAATACATCAAATGATAATACACAAATTGAACAAATGCATCTATTTAGAGAATCTCAACCTCCAAACATGCCCTTAGATGACTTTATGGTGTGTGATTATAGAGGCTGAAACAAAAGCAGGTCACTCAAAATTGAGGGTGAATCATTAAAAAATGTGGTTGAAATTCGGTTTTGGGTGGTCGGTTTCTGAACGAAAACCGAAAAAGTGAACCAGAAACTGCGGTTTCGGTTAACCGCAAGGAAAAACCGAAACCGATGTTTGCGGTTTTCGGTTAACCGAAGTCTCTGTCGGTTTCGGTTAGTGATATTGGGACAATTTTGATTGCGGTTAACCGATATTTCGGTGTGGTTAAACCGAAACCGCACCGACTAACACCCCTACTCGCTACACCTCGAATTGGTCCATTTGTAAACGCATGTGACTTCTTTGTATCTGCATGTTTCCTCGTTAATACGAGTAATTTTTTGCGGGTTAATGGCAAGGATGGTCATTGGGTTTACTAAAACTGTTCATGTTTGGTCACTGCAAATATTTAATTCCATTCATGGTCACTAAGATTAGTTCAATAGTTCAAGTTTGGTCACTCTCCGTTAGTTTTTGCTGATGTGGCAGTCAACTATTATAGTTGACCGTTAAATGAGTGACGTGGCCAATAAAAGAATAAAAAAATAAAAAAAATTAAATATTTATAATTTTCACCTCATTTTACAACTATTAAAAAATAAAAATAAGGGTTAATAGCATTTTGTACACCTCTACTATCGTAAATTAACAAACGTACCCTTCTACTAAATTTTCGCACAAACATACCCTTCTAATATTAAAACTTAACAAGTTACCCTTCCGTCTAATTATCCGTTAAGTGACCGTTAAAAACCCCAGAAAATGACCCAATTGCCCCTCCTTTACTCTTAATTTCAATTTTAATAATTTTATCTATTATTTATTTATGTCCCAAACAATTAATAAAAGAACAAACCCTAAACAATTCACCGTCCGTCCCCTGTTCTTCTACCCTGGCGGTTCGTCGATCGACTCGGTGGCGCCTGCTCCTGGCTTATCCTTGCCGGCGGTCACAAGAAACCGTTCGATCGGCTGTTTCCATCTCCTCTCGCCATCCCGCACTCCGATCTCGCGCTTCCGTACTATGCTGCCTCCGCCGATAGCTTCGATTCCGATGAGGGGAAGTTGAATTTCAGGTCGATGAATCCAGAGTCGTCGACGGCAATAGTGAAATTTGAAATTTCCTTCACTGAGCGAGAAAACCCGCAGGATCCAATAATCCCTCTTCTGATTCTCGACGTCGAACCCGATGCTGCAGCGGCTTGTTGGAATTCGAACGCTTTAGAGTGTAGGAAGGCTGTGATTGAGCATCGTTCTCGATCAGGAAGGAGATACGGCCAACGCTGCCGACTTCCAGATTGGAATGCTGTTGGTGGAATGGGAGTCACGATTGAGGGAGATGTCGCAGTAGTAGAGGAAGAGATTTCTTTGAAGCAGTGGGCGCAGATTCCGACCGGCGGGGTGGGGGACAAGTAGGGGTGGTAAACGGTAATCCGGTAAACGGTTTACCGTTTTACCGAACCGGTAAACGGTAAACCGTTTACCGGCGGTATCGGTAGCCGAGCGGGAAGTTGGGGGAGTCGGTTTACCGGACACGGTATCGGTAAATACCGACGGTAAATCGGTATTACCGATACCGAATCCCCCCTCCCTACTCCCTAGTGCTGCGCTGCGTTTTGTTGCTTTATTATGAAAAATATTACATCATTATTCACAAATATAAAATATTACATACATGAATGTAAGTATCGGCCTCAAAAATATTGTAAATAAGAGTTAATAATAAATTATTAATTACAAAAATGATGAAAAAAACTCAAAAAAATCAAAATATTACAACATCACCCCACTTCCAGAAATTCGGTTCGGTAAATATTCGGTAAACCGACCGAAAATATCGCCCGAAATCGCTTCTCACGGTATTTCGGTAATACCGGTTTGTTACCGTTTACCGGTAATTCGGTAATCGGTAAACCGGTTACAAACCGGTATCGGTAATCGGTAACCAGTTTGGCCAACTTCGGTATACCGAAACCGGTAAATTCGGTAAACGGTAAATTGTTTACCGACCGAATACCACCCCTAGGGACAAGGGTGCCGCTTGCAGGGATGGTAAGAGGAAGAGTCGTGGTGGAAGATTGAGTCGCCATTGTTGTTGGTTCGGGGCCCAACTTGTTGTTCTTTTAATTAATTGTTTGGTCTTTGGGACATAAATAAATAATTAAAATAATTAAAACTAAATTAGGAGTAAAGGGGTTAATTGGGTAATTTCCCGGTCACTTTAACGGCCACTTAACGGATAATTTGACGGAAGGGTAAACTAGTTACATTTTAATATTAGAAGAGTATGTTTGTGCGAAAATTTATTAGAGGGGTACGTTTGTTAATTTACGATAGTAGAGGGGTACAAAATGCTATTAATCCTAAAAATAAAAATAAAACTTACCTCCGCCGTCGCCACCACGGATCTCCGATTCAGTCTCCTCTCCTCCAACTCATTGTACATAGAGCGCGTGTTCCCCTTCAAGTGATGCAGACAACAAGCGTGGAATGAAATTCATGTCATTCCACTTGCCATTTCTTTTCTCTCATTCCAAAGAGAACAATGGAAAATCTATGACTATATAAAAAGTAGAAAGAAAATGAATGTTAACCATAAACAATGCAGAGAAACTTAGAAACAGTCTCCTGAAAGTTGCAAGGGAGTACAGAGGAAACGAGTTGTTTACTAACCAAGCTGGAGAGGGGACAAGCTCGGCGGAGTTATCTTCTCATCCCCATACAAGATTTGGCAGGCAAACTTGTACCTGCACAAGACCATTAAACCGGGGGGGGGGGAAAAAGCAGTCAAACCATTAGCACGACATGAACCTTTCGTCATGCCATCGAACATTGTAATGTAAAGTAGTTTCTCAGCCAGATGCTACGTTAGCTGTTATTGCATCCAAAGTTGCATAAACAACACTAGCATCTAGGTGGCTAACTTCTGGTTTCCACAGAGAATACACGATGACTATTGTTCAGCTCACATTGCAAAGCTGGTGGGTTGCCCTGAAATATAATCTGCACAATCGGACAAAGTTTTTGTTTTGTTTCTGCTTTAAAGTAATGGCACCCAGTTCTACTTTAATCTTTAGGTTATGTGTGACTGTGAGTGGATCAAACGACGGCAGCATAGAGCTAGAGTGCTAAAGGCTGATGCTTCGTCACTCGCACCTATCACGGGAAGAAACCTAAATTCAGGCCATGGAAACTGCGGCGGAGAAGGACCATCTACTGTGTCAAAGCCAGTCAAGCTTTCAATCTCGAGAATCCCACCAGTCCGGATCGAGTAACCTTGAATCTACTGCTTTGATCAGAGCCGTATGGCAGGAATCCAAGAACTTGTGGCTCATTGCCGGGCCCTCGATCTTCAGCCGGGTCGCCATGTTTTCATTGACGGTCGTCACCCAATCTTAGTTTTATTTTTAATAGTTGTAAAATGAAGTGAAAATTGTAAATATTTAAATTTTTTTATTTTTTTATTGGCCACGTCACTCATTTAACGGTCAACTATAATAGTTGACTGCCACATCAGCAAAACTAACGGAGACTAACGGAAAGTGACCAAACTTGAATTATTGAACTAATCTTAGTGATCATGAATAAAATTAAATATTTGCAGTGACCAAATATTAACGGTTTTAGTAAACCCAATAACCATCCTTGCAATTAACCCAATTTTTTGCATTAATTTTTTTTTTTTTTTTTTTTGAAAATCCTTAGAGAATGGAATAAGCTATGTAGAATTTGATATGGATCCCACACGCCGGGGCTCATAGGGCACCTAGGTTTTCGGGTATTGGTCCGTGACCCATAACAGAAAACTATTAGACGACAGCAGCCCGAGCCCACGGGTTCATGGCCCAGTTAAGTATTGTCGACGATGACCCGGATGCCGACGCTCGTATATCCATCGCTGATGCCGGACCCTCCGACGGCAACCTCGCATCCTACAGCTGTGAACTTCAGGCAGAGAACGGGAAATCAGTAAGGAAGGAGAGCTTCGCCTCGTCTGGTCATTAGCTCGTCAAGGTAATCAACACTTCAATTTGATTCCCGACAATCCAAAATTTGCTTTCGTTTTACGGACTTGGGGTTTCCCCCAACTCTATTTGCTTTCAATTATGATCGGGAAGAGTGGTACTCTTTCTTTGGAATTCGACCGCTGTTCCAGTACTTGGACCGGAAGTTCCATGTTTTTGCTTCGTTTCATTGTGTATTTTGGGATTGCTTTGAGATTCAAATTTGCATAACCTCAAGGTGTTCGACGAAATGCCTTAACTAAGCCGAGTTTAAGATTTAGTTGTGGTTCGAGAAGAGCTCTTTTTTATTGTGAGGTATGTTTATTCAGGGAGGGAAATGAACCGAATTAGTCGAACAAGTGAATACGAATTTTTTTTTTTTTTTTTTTTGACAAAAGATAACAAGTGAATACGAATGGCTGAAGTAAGCTTGGGGATTCTCATTGATATTGTGGACGACGAGTGGATGAGAGATACTCTGCCTGACGATGGTAAGCATCATCTCCGCAACACATATACTCCATTTCTTACTACACAATATTATCAAACAGTTACTTTGTGGGCCGTGGCTTTCTCCTGTCGCATTTTCTCCCTCTTGGAGCTTGCTGATTCATTAGTATGTAAAAACACCTTTTGTGATGTTGCAGATCTCCCGTTACCTCCTGTTCTGGTTGTCCGCACCGATGAGGCTGAAGAATCAAGTATGTCCTCTCCACCTTCAACCAAACTTCAATACCCTCCTTGCTCTATGCCTAATGTTGCTTGTTTCGTTTAAGAAATGAAAACACCAATGAAAGTAGTTGAAAAATAGGTTTTGCTCTTTGATCTTATGCTACAAACATGGGAAATCAGGAGCATTGAAAACCTTCATACCATTTCTGTTCTTCGCCCTTTGTCGGTTAAAACTTAAAACCAGTCACACCACCTTAGTTTGCACTTTAAGTCTTCTTCCCTCCATTCCAATCCTGCTATGTTCTGGTCCATCAAATATGATGACTGTTTCTACCAAAAAAAAAATATATATTGACGACTGTCGAGCAGCTATGTTACGAAGGAATAAAATGTTGCTGTGCTTTGGTGTGTTCATTTATCTCCATCATTTGCTTTTGGCAGATCATGAGCCTCAGCCGGTCGAGCAAGATACCTGGCATGACCTTGCCCTAGGTAGTCAATGAACCCTGAAGTCACTTACTTTGGTACGGTTGGCCATATGCGCATTTGGTTTTATGTAATTGGAGAGTGAGATCGTTCCTATTGTAAGCCCTATGCAGAAGAGGATTCATGAATTGAACTGAAACACGGCATTTGATTCCATCAAACAGGTTCATTTCCATCCATGTCTGGAGTATGTCAAGAACTTTGTTTCTTCCTTGGTGTTGATATCTAGCATGTGCATTTTGCATGTCCTTTTGCTGTTGGACTAGCTCCCTTGACCAGCTTAGCTGCAACAGTTGGCTGTAGAGGAATTTCAGAAGATCCCAACATGAATACAATGACCAAAATCTGTTCATAGTCTGACCCTCTTGACTAAACTTGACCTGACATGGGTGGGTGGGGAAGAGCAGAGCAGGCGACTAGGGTTGTATAATAATTTTAAAGACCTATTATCCTATTGCATGTCATTCTTGTTGTTTGGAATTGTTGGGTTGTTCTGCTATTGTGGTTTGAGTACGGAGTATTATGTGGATTAGGTGATTGCTTCCATCTGACTTAACCTTTTCTCCATAACAGCTTTTGGGATAATGTAAAATTTTATTCTCCGCAAAGGAGGGTGGACAAACGGATACATCAAAGAGCATGTGTGAGAGAGAGCATGTAGGGCACAGAAACTTGTTTAATTCGGAAAGGTATTTTGGACAATATTTTGAATATAGTAGCTCGAACTCGATTTGAAAAATATTAGTAGCTCTAACTCCCCTTGGAAAAAAATAAATTACATGGGAGCTTGACTCGGACTTCGAATCGAGTTTTAACTTATTTTGAATATAGTAGCTCGAACTCGACTTGATAAGTAAGTTTAGTTAGTTAAATTTGAGCTTAACTCATTACAACTACTCTCCAACTTAAGACTGAGGTCAAATTTTAATTCTAAACCTACTTCCTAAATATCCATAGTAACACAAAAGCAAAAGTACATTCAAGAACACCCAATCCATTTCAATTTACATTCTCACAACACCCTAACCGTTCACTTGGGAGATGGTGTTTGATATTTTGACAAATCATTGAAAGCACAAACTCGTCTCATTAATAAACGAGTTAGTTTGCAAACCAAACGAGCAAGGTACAAAATGTGTTAAACTCAACTCATAAGTAATATATTAAGTTCACGAATTTTTTCTTCTCCACAACGAGTTGAATGTGCCAGACGAGTTTTTTTCGAGTCCAGTGTCCAGACACTCATGATCAACTTGAACTTATACTTGAGTGTAGTAGCGAAGTTATCATGCTGGATAAACAAGCCCAGTATGAAGAAGAAGAAAAATGTATTGGATTTAGACTTTAGACTCGAGACAAATCTAAAGTGGGTTGTTGGGTTCAATAAACAAGAGAGGGCTATGGAATGTGGTCATGTGGATGCCAATTTTTGGTTTGAATCTCCAAAACCGCAACTCCTTTGTACGTTCTCATTTATTATGGATGTCAATAAAGTGGTGGAGCAGCTGGGTCTCAACCTCAAGTCTAAGTCTTTATGTGTGAAAGGTGGAAGGACACCGCCGTAGCTTTTGAAGCTGGTACGATCAATTGTGACCAAAGCACCACTTGAAGTCCTACATTTATAATCCACAACCTGTGGTTCAGTTGCCTCCCATAATTATTCACCATTCCGTTAAATTGACTTTGTGCAATTTGTGCATGAAAGACCTCTAATCTTTGCTTTTTAAAATATTACACTACATTTATTTTCCGTTAACTGCAATTTGTGCATGAAAGAGCTCATCATTGGGATGTAACTCAATGATGATAAAGATATTGACTTTGAACAAATAGAGTCTCTATTTAAATATCATTTATGCCACTGTAAAGAATACCCACCTATGTGAAGTAACGAGACTTGACAAATCATATAGCAGTTAAGGTTACGCAAGTCAGAACTTTGATTTGAGAAAGGGATGATGGATGAAGAAAATTGAGGTGTTGGAGAAAGAGGAGTAGAACGAGTAAGAACATGAACGGGTCGGAGAAGCGTAACCGGAGCACAATCATACTCTAATTATTTTTCTTAATGACTTCCATTCTTCAACCAATAACAAGAGATATATCCTTCCAAAAGACCCACTAATCCCACCCTCTTTCTTCGTTTCGGTTGCCTCTCATTTTTTTGATTATTCTCAATTGACGTTAAGTGACAGTTTTAACTAATTTGATGTAAAATAAGTAATTTGATATATGTATTTCACTAAGGAATCCACCCCATATGTTTGACTCACCTGGCACGAAAATTAAGTGCACTATCTATTTAACTGGGATTTATGTTGATTTCAAGGATGTGTGTTTATGGATCAAGCAAACTGTAACCTGATGGTGAATGGTGTTAAACAAGAATGTGGCACTGAAAGGGACAAGAGAATGTGAAGCAGGAATCAAGGATGTGGATTAGGCAAAACCCAAACATAAAACGACAGAAGCAGAGCCTCATATATTCAACAAACATCTGAACTGGCGGGTGGGGTAATTAAGCATGTGGATTAAGCCCACCCAGTTTGTGTTTTGTTGTGTTGGTTTTCCCTTTTGGCGATGATTAAGACTCTCCTAACCAAAGCGCTAAACGACGCATTAATATTCAGCAAAAGGCAAACGCAGCAGCAGCCCCGCCCGTAGGTAAAGTACAACTACGTAAGACCAAGTAGTAATTAGCGCTAATCCTTTTCCTTAATTACCAAATAAAGCGGCCTGCCCGATTGTTTATCCCTCTTCTTTTCCTTTTTCTAACCTTTACTATCCAACCAAAATTAGCAATAGCTGAGCTTTCACTGCTTCCAAATTACATTTAACTCCCTCACCAATCCAACTCAAGTGGGCTCCAGTAGTAAGACTTCCCAGTCCCTCGGCCCAAGGGAACTCAACGGCCCATAGTCCATTTACCTTCATCACACGTAACAGTAACACCATCCCTCCACCATAATGGCCTTCACGCCCGGTTCAGACAACGGTCGGGCCGACAACCGTCCGATCTCCGCTAAACGGGACCCACCCCTTCGACGAGTCAACAACGAATCCAACCAGCTCACTCAGTCTTCCTAGTAATAACAACTCAGCTTAACTTCCCGCACTCAGAATTTCCAGAAACAAACACCAAAACCACTCTCTCCCTCTGAGCTGACTTCCAATTTAACGCCGTGAAATCCCCCACTTCACTCCCATTCCTCCAAGTTCCAACAATAAGAAAGCCCTCTCCTTTCTTTTCCTTTCCCCTCACAAGAACAGAGACACTAGCTAGTAGTTTCTTTCTTTTGCTCTGCCTCTTGCCGCCTATGGCATAAGTAGCACTCCCCAGAAACACACAAGGATGAAAATGGGATCCTTCTTCTGCAGATTGGGGCTGCTGCTTCTCTCCATTGCTTTCCTCGTCGAGTCAAGCTCATCAGCAACAAACTGCAACAGCAGTACTTCAGACCGAGATCTTCTCTTCCTCTCCAAGGCATTCAGCTCGGTTTCCGGGTTCAACCCTTCCTGGTTCAATTCTCACAATAACTCCAGCAACTGCTCCCGCCCTCCTCCACTGACAGAAATCAAGCTCCCTTCCAGAAACTTGAGCGGCAGCGTTTCCTGGAAGTACCTCAGGAACTTTACCCATCTCCAAATCATCGACCTGTCCAGCAACTCACTCCAGGGTCAGCTCCCCAGCTGGCTCTGGACCAAACCCAGCCTCACCGAAATCAACCTGGCCAATAACAAGCTCGGCGGCAGCATTGGGTTCGATTCGCCCTCAAACGGCACGTCGTTTCGTCGTCTTCCTCCTCCTCCTTCGTCGATCAAAGTGCTGAATCTCTCCAGCAACAGGTTCACCAACTCGGTCAAGCTCTCCGGTTTCCCCAATCTCGAAACCCTCGACCTATCCCGCAATGCGATTGGGTACTTACCCCTCGGATTGCCCAACTTGACCAAGCTCCAGATTCTCGACGTTTCCGGCTGCGGAATCTCCGGCGACATCAGGGCGATTTCCGGCCTCCGTTCGTTGAAGTACCTGGATGTTTCCAATAACAGCTTGAACGGCACTTTCCCTTCCGATTTCCCTCCCTTGGCCGGGCTCAAGCTGCTCAACATCTCGCTCAATAACTTCACCGGCCGCGTCGGATTCGACAAGTACAACAAATTCGGGAAATCAGCTTTCATCCACGGCGGAAGCAGTCTCGTTTTCAATTCCTCCAAAACTCCGATCACCGCCAAAACCCCCAACTCCAATTCCAATTCCAATTCCAATCAAATCCAAACCCTAACCAACCACCACCGTCACCAAAATCAAAACCAATCCACGCCACATAAGATTCAGAAACCCGAAGCCCTAACCCACAAGAGGGAAACCAGACGGAAATCGAAGAAGCGTAGAGAGCTAATAATCGCCGCCGCCTCATCGGCACTTGCTCTCCTCCTCCTATCCTCCGCCGCGACCTGCCTGCTCTGTTTCTACAAGCGGAGGAAACTCGCGGGGCGGCAGAGGAGATGGGCCATCTCGAAGCCGGTCCAGTACCCGTACAAGATGGAGAAATCGGGCCCGTTCAGCTTCGCGACGGAGTCCGGGACGTCGTGGGTGGCGGACATCAAGGAGCCGAGGTCAGCGTCGGTGGTGATGTGCTCGAAGCCGCTGATGAGCTTGACGTTCAAGGACCTCATCGCCGCCACGTCACACTTCGGGAAGGACTCGCTCCTCGCGGAAGGGAGGTGCGGGCCCATGTACCGGGCCGTCCTGCCCGGCGACGTACACGTGGCGATCAAGGTGCTGGAGAAGGCGAGGGACATCGGCCGCGATGAAGCCGTGGGGATGTTTGAAAATCTCGCCACCCTCAAGCACCCCAACCTCCTGCCACTCTGCGGCTACTGCATTGCTGGTACGTAGCAAAGATTCAAGAAACAAACAAAACAGTATATAAAAATAAAACAAAATTGCAAAATATTCGTCGGCCCAAAGCTCATTAAATGCGTCTCTGCCTGTGTCATTAATAAGATAAGAGAGCGAGCAGCGGGGAGGCTTTGAGGTGTCGTACTCATCAGTCAGATTGTTCTGTCTCTGAGTTCGTCAATGTCTATGGCCATCATTGCCTGGCTTTAGATTTTTGTAGCCTTTCCTTGGTTCATGTGCGCATTTAATTGCTGGGTTGCAGATTACGTAGGGTTCAAAAATTCAACCTTTTTTTCACCATTGAAGTCAATTTTCCAAACTCGTGCCTTGAGGTGTAGTACTAGTAAATAGTGTTCGCTGTGCTGCACAATAGTAATATGATTTTTCTTACCCTATCTGGCTGCCAGTGTAGAAAAATTGAAACTAGGAACGAGTTATTCCGTTTATAGCAGTAGTATGAATTGCTGATGCATTTCAGACTCTGCAAGTCAAATGGGTGGTCAGAAAATTTAGTTTTTTTTATAAAATTTGGATGGAAAAAATTGGAAGTCGGGATTCAAATTTTTAGCAATTTTAATGGAGGGCGCATGGCCTAGTGTAATGTGAAAGGAGGAGGGGGGAAGAATCAAGAACGAAGAATCCCAGTTATGGTGCATAAAATAAAATAATGGTCGAGTTAATGGGAAATCGAGAATTAAACGTGGAGTATAAGAAGCATAGATATCGCGGTGGAAATTCGAGGAGGGTATCTTATATTGTTAATTATTCCAACCATTTCCTGTTCTTTCAATTGATTAATCTTAATTTTTTTTTTTTTTTTTTTTGATGAAACAGGGACGGAGAAGCTGGTGATGTACGAGTTCATGGCGAACGGGGATCTCCACCGTTGGCTCCACGAGCTACCCACTCTCGAGCCCAACGTAGAGGACTGGAGCACGGACACGTGGCAGCAGGAGCAGCAGCACCCCCACGCTCGAGGGGAGGAGGAGGAAAAGGCCAACTGGCTAATCCGCCACCGCATCGCCGTCGGGGTGGCGCGTGGGCTGGCTTACCTCCACCACAGGGGCTCCACCCACGGCCACCTCGTCTCCACAAACGTGATGCTCTCCGACTCGCTCGAGCCCCGCGTCTCGGATTTCGGGCTCCGGAATTTCGGGCAGAGCGAGGGACCCGCGGCCGTTGCTGTCGGGTCGGGGAGGAATAAGAAGCCGGTCGGGTTCGGGGATGACGTGTACTGTTTCGGGGCGGTGGTGGTGGAGTTGATGACGGGGAAGCCCGGGAGCGAGGAGAGCGTGCGGTGGGCGAGGAAATTGGTGAGGGAAGGGCGTGGGGTCGACGCGCTTGACTCGAGGCTGGAACGCGGTGGCGAGTTCGTGGTCGAGATGGTGGAGTGCCTCCGAGTTGGGTACCTCTGCACGGCCGAGTCGCCCGAGAAGCGGCCCACTATGCAGCAGGTATTGGGCCTGCTCAAGGACCTACATCGTGAGTTGACTTGATCACTTGGGTCGTCTGAGGTCCATTTCCCCCCCCCCCCCCCCCCCCCTTCAATTTCCTTCTAGAATTTGGGTTTTCCATTCTCAAGCTCTGAGGATGATGGCTTTCACGCGTTAGTGAATGGAGGTGTGAAGTTGTAATTGTTCATTTTTTAGGGTTAGGGATTGTTAGTTGATCGAGTTTGTGGAAAAATGGAAAAGGTAAATTTGTTCAGAGATTGTGACATTTCATCATTTTTCTAGTTTAATTTATTATTATTTGTGATGAAACCACCTTCAACATTACTACCGTCACTAAACCAAACTCTTGTTTGCCTACGATCACAATCTTAGTTCCAATGAACCTATGTCAAACCCTTTGAATCGAGTAACTCAGAGCTCAGAGTTGGATTTTGTAGATATGAATTAATAATGTGTGAATCATTTGTTAGAATTCGTAAGTTGGATAAAAAAAAACACGAACTGGTTTAGTTTCTACAATTTCTAACCAAGAGCATCCCATGAACCACATGAATGATCCCCTGCAATTAGGCAAAGATTTACGTGGTAGTACTTTGTTTATTTAGGAATAATTGGTAATATATGGTTCACTTTATTAATTAGTTGCGTAACGTAGGAAAATAAAGTAGAAAAAGGAGGGAGGGGACAAAAGGAAGTGGGGAGGTGGTGGAAGAATTGTTGTCTTTTAGGTTAGCATATGCAGATGGATATGTTATGCAGGAGAGAATCCCACTTATTATTTGTCTCTACTCTTCTCTTCTCGCATTGATCATCTTGTTTATGTTATCCCAACTTGGATTTGTTTAGTCTTTCTTTTTGCATGCAAATTATTTGGCTTACAACTTTAAATGAAGGCCTTTGTTTCTTTGATGGATCTTTTTGAAGGGGGGACTTTATTCCATTTGATTTGTTTTCTTTCTACGCAGTCTACTTCTTTTGATGCGGATTCTTCTCATCATTTTATTGAAGGGCCCATACAAAAAAGAAAAATCAAAGGAAAAAAGAGAAAGAAAAATCAACAAGAGGAAGACGTAGTAAGTGGGATGGGTAGATAGATGCCCCTCTCGATGGCAATGTTTAGCTAGGATGATAGTGATTTAACTGACGACTTGATTAGTATTTCATTAAGCTACTAATTGACTCGGCGGGGGACCATATATATTGGTCGCCGTCGCCGGCTATTTGTGAAGTTGGAATGTTTGTGCATGGGCGGCTGCCGTAGTTTCCAAATCCACGGACGAATTTAGACCATGCATCATAAGAAGGCATTTTTAATGTGCTGGAAGTTGGCCATCGCCTAGAATCCTCCCCTAAATCTGCGATATTATCATAAGAAGGCATTTTTAATGTGCTGGAAGTTGGCCATCGCCTAGAATCCTCCCCTAAATTAACGGGTTAATTGCATGGTTGGTCACTGAGATTACAAAAACCGTTCAAGTTTGGTCACTCGAAATATTTAAATCCATTGGTGGTACTTCACTTTACTGAAACCGTTCACGTTTGGTCACTCTCCGTCCAATTCCGTTAACTTTTGCTTACGTGGCAGTCAACTCTAAAAGTTGACCGTTAAATGTGTGACGTGGCAATTAAAAAATAATTAAATAAATAAAATTTAATTTTTTAAAATTTCCACCTCATTTCTAACTATTAAAAAGATAAAAATAAAATTATTAATTATTAAAATTAAGAACGAATGGCGAAACCTCTCTCATGTTCTCCGCCGCCGTATTCTTGGCCACAAACGTCGGTGATTGCTGGTGTTCCCGCTGAGATAAACCCTATGAAGGCGAGGCCAACGCCGCAAAACCTGAACCCTACCAGGCCTAAACTGGACAGCACGGGATTTGAACTCCCCAAGGGCACCTCCCGCTCCTTCCAAGCTCCCACCGGCTGGTCCGACCGTTTCTGGGGACAAACCGGCTGCGATATCGACGATCCTGGCAGAGGTTCCTGCGCCACCGCCGATTGCGGTTCCGGCCAAATCGAATGCAACGGGGCCGGCGCCAGCCCCCCTGCCACTTTAGCCGAGTTCACTCTCGGATCCGGTTCCCAGGATTTCTACGACATCAGCCTTGTCGACGGCTACAACCTGGAGATGATTGTGGAGGCCAGCGGCGGCTCCGGCGACTGCTCATCCACAGGGTGCATCACCGAATTGAACCGGAAGTACCCAGCGGAGCTGAGATCGGAGGACGGTGCTGCCTGACGGAGCGCTTGTGATGCATTTGGGAACCCAGAGTATTGCTGCAGGGGAACGTACAATTCGCCGGCAACGTGCAAGCCGTCGATGTACTCGTCGGTGTTCAAGAGCGCCTGCCCTAAATCGTACAGCTACGCCTACGATGACGCCACAAGTACCTTCACTTGTTCCGCAGCCGATTACACCGTCGCATTTTGCCCCACCCTCCCCAGGTAATAATAATTAGTTAATTCTCAACTCCAATTCTTAATAAGAAGAACTAAAATAATTTATGAACATCTCGATTGGAATGAGATAGTTTGTGGGATTTCTTAGATTAAGTATGTTGTGGAATGGAAACAGTCTGAAGTCGTCAAGAGATTTGCCACCACCACCGCCAAAGGGTTCGACAGCAACAACATGGGGAGGAGGAGGCCTGGTAGGGTTCTGGTACTTTTGCGGCGTTGGTCTCGGTTTCGGAGGGTTTATCCGAGCGGGAACGGCAGCAACCATCGCCGTTTGTGGCCAAGAATGCGGCGGCGGAGAACAGGAGAGAGAATTCATCGTTGGTTTTTAATTTTAATAATTTATAATTTTATTTTTATCCTTTTAATAGTTAGAAATGAGGTGGAAATTTTAAAAAATTAAATTTTATTTATTTAATTATTTTTTAATTGCCACGTCACACATTTAACGGTCAACTTTTAGAGTTGACTGCCACGTAAGCAAAAGTTAACGGAATTGGACGGAGAGTGACCAAACGTGAACGGTTTCAATAAAGTGAAGTACCACCAATGGATTTAAATATTTCGAGTGACCAAACTTGAACGGTTTTTGTAATCTCAGTGACCAACCATGCAATTAACCCCTAAATTAACCTTACATTATATATTCTCGATATTATCATATATAAAGTTGAAGCTTAGTTACTGTTGCCTAAAAATATACTATTTTGATACCTCAATTTTTATTAAATTACAACTTAATTTTTTTCCCCCGTTGAATCAGTTGCTTTTATTCCAAGAAGAACCGATACAACGAGGCGAGAAAAAATCTCGAGCAAAACAACAACTCCAACTGCTGACAGTATCTATATATTCTAGTCAACTACTAAAAACAGAAAAACCTTTCTATAAGTAACCTAGCTCCACTAATGCATCCCTGATTCCTCTGTTCCCATAAGTAATAAACTGCAGATCAGCTCGAATCAAGTCTGCAACCTGAGCAGGGGGACGACATTGAGCTCCATGAATCACTCCACATCGTTCCTTCCATATAAACGTCAATAGCAAACACCAAAGCAGGCCATGCCACTCTCTTGTTCTAGAATTTCCAACCTGTGTCATTGCACTTAACATCGTTTCCTAGTCTGGTTGCAGCAGTAGCTTACACCTCAGTTCCTCAGCGAGACACCTCGAATATGAGCAGTGAACAAATAGGTGGTCCCTGCTTTCAATTGATGAACTGCAGAGCGAACAGGAAACGTCCCTGATTTTGCCCCATTTCTGCAATTTATCTCTTGTAATAATGGCCTTCTTAATAATCAGCCAAACTATCAAACTGAAGCGAGGTGGGCAATTCCTGCCCGAGACAAGTTTGTACCAAGATACCTTGGGAGCCTTGTGTCTCAAGGTTTCCCAAACCCTTCGTATGGAGTAAACCATCATATCCTTCGAATCCCAATAGACTTTACCATTCTGCTTCTGCATCCAGGGTGAAATCACATCCCTTAGCTTCAAAAGTGTCCTCCAGGCCCAAGAACTACTGTATTGCACCCTAAAAGTCCACAAGTCATGATGCCTGCATTTATACTCATTCATCCACGCCACCCAAAGGGTTCCAGAGTTCATGAGAAACAACCAAACCAATCGAATACAACTTGCCTGATTCCATGCCCCTAAGTCCTTCACTCCTAGTCCCCCTTCCTGCTTAGGAAGTGAAATATACTCCCAAGCAACCTTTGCCCTGCCCTCATCAACACCATGCCATAAGAACTGTGAGCAGATTCTTTGAATCCTCTTTAATGCTTGTTTAGGCAAAACAAATAATTGCATCCAATATTGAACAATATCAATAATCACAGAGTTCAGAAGCTGGAGCCTCCCTGTATAAGTAAGCTTTCTGGCTCTCCATGATCTGATGCGCTTTGTAATTTTGTCAACTAGGATATCAATTTCTGAGGAAGAGAGCTTACCTGCTAGAAGAGGCAGCCCCAGATACCTAACTGGCAAATTCCCTTCTTGGAACCCCGAAAGTGCAAGAGCATTACTCTTATATTGCACCGATTCTCCACCAAAGTAGATTTCACATTTGTCTGGGTTACAATTGAGACCAGAACAATTGCCTGTGCAGAACCCTTGGTAAATATGAGGAGATCGTCATCAAAACAGAGATGATTCAAAGCAACTCTCTTACATTGAGGATGAAAGGGCACCCTCCCTGAAAGACTAGCTTCTCTCAGCAGTGTGGATAAGCCCTCCATAGCAATTGTAAATAGGTAAGGTGACAAGGGGTCACCCTGCCTAACCCTAGGGGTGGGATTCGGTCGGTAAACGGTAAATTGTTTACCGAATTTATCGGTTTCGGTATACCGAAGTTGGTCAAATTGGTTACCGATTACCGATACTAGTTTGTAACCGGTTTACCGGTTACCGAATTACCGGTAAACGGTTACAAACCGGTATTACCGAAATACCGTGAGAAGCGATTTCGGGCGGTTTTTCGGTCGGTTTACCGAATATTTACCGAACCGAATTTCTGGAAGTGGGGTGATGTTGTAATATTTTGATTTTTTTAGTTTTTTTCATCAATTTTGTAATTAATAATTTATTATTAACTCTTATTTACAATATTTTTGAGGCCTATACTTACTTACATTCATGTATATAATATTTTATATTTGTGAATAATGATGTATATGTTATATGTTAGTGGAGTAGGGAGGGGGGATTTCGGTATCGGTATTACCGATTTACCGTCGGTATTTACCGATACCGTGTCCGGTAAACCGACTCCTCCAACTTCCCGCTCGGCTGTCGATACCGCCGGTAAACGGTTTACCGTTTACCGCCGGTTACCGGTTCGGTAAAACGGTAAACCGTTTACCGGAATACCGTTTACCACCCATACCTAACCCCCTTCTTTGCACGAAAAAACCCACAAAGACTTCCATTGATATTGAAACTGTAGTGTGCAGTTTGCATGCAGCTTCTAATCCATAACAAAAATTTCTCTGGGAACCCTATAGTTTTCATCATAATGAACAAATACCTCCAGTTCACAGAATCAAATGCCTTCATTATATCTACTTTAATTGCACAACGAGATGAAAGATGCCTCCTGTTATACCCACTAACTAACTCCTGAGCTAATAGAATGTTATCCATGATACTTCTCCCTTTAATAAAAGCAGATTGGGAACTGCTTATGATTAAAGGCATAATTTCTCTAATTCTGTTTGCTAGGATCTTGGTTATTACCTTGTATAGGAGATTTATACAAGAAATAGGCCTAAAGTTCCTAAGTGAATCAGCATTAGTGACCTTAGGTAACAGGGAAACTGCCGTGGAATTAATACCACTAGGAAGCATACCTGAGTCAAAGAAGAATAGAATTCCCTTGGATACATCCTCCCCAAGAATACTCCATGTTTTCTTGAAGAAACCAGCAGAGAATCCATCAGGGCCAGGGGCCTTTTGAGGATTCATACCAAACACAGCAGCTCTAATTTCTTCTACTGTAACTTGCTTGATCAAACCAGCACATTCTTCCTGAGGTATCTTGTGCCTAACCAGTTGCTGTATTTCCTCTGTACTTGGATTAATTTCTTCATTTACTTCCCCCAGAAGTTTTCTATAAAAGCCAATCACCTCCTCTACAATCTGTTCCGTTTGATAAACTTCTTCCCCTGATTCCTTAACCAGCTTCCTGATTGCTCTTTTAGAGTTTCGTATTTTCACTGCCTGGTAGAAGAAATTAGAACACTTGTCCCCTACAGTAAGCCAAGAGACTCTGGATTTCTGCCAACAAAAGCTCTCATAAGCTTTTGACATTTGAATAAACTTATCCTTAGCCTGTTTAACAGCCTCAAAACTCTCTGCCGAGGGAACAGAAAAAGCTTGAGCATTAGCACTTTGATATGCTTCTGCAGCAGCCTTAACTTGGTCTTGAAGATTCCCATACACTTCCCTATTAAACCTCTTAAGAGCCTTTTTTACCTCCCTCATTTTTCCCTGTATGACCTGCCATGGGTTCCCTGTGACTTCCACTTGCCAAGCTGCCTCCACAATTTCTAAAAACTTAGGGTGTTCCGACCAAAATTCAAAATATTTGAACGGTTTTGGCATGGACTTAATTGGAGCTGCAGTGCTTACTTGCACCCCACAATGATCAGAGAAATTTCCTGGAATCACCTCAACTACACAGTTCTTGAGCTTCTCAATCCAATCCAGATTGACCATCGCTCTGTCTAATTTCCTAGCAATAGGGTTGTTAACTTGCCTGTTAGTCCAAGTAAATTGTAGTCCTGACGCTCTGTGGTCCAGCAACTCAATGTCCCCAATCCAAGCATTAAAGTCAATCATACTGCTAGTAAAATTCCTTTGATTCGATGTCTCCTCAGGGCTTCTTACTGTGTTGAAATCACCCCCAATAATCCATGGATAACCTACAACCTTATACTTGGCTATCTCCTTGTATGTTGCTTGCCGCTCAGTTTCCTCATTGTTGAAGCATACACAGCCGTCAAGAAAACTCTATCCTTATTAACATCCTCCACCAAGCAGTGCACAAATTTTTTTCCTGGTTTGATCACTTGAATCTTAATCTCTGAAACCCAGAATAACCAAACTCTTCCCAAATTTGAATCCACACACTCTATACATCTCTCCCAGCCTGCAAATATCTCTTCAACTGCCTCTTTAGCCTTTTTTGATTTTATTCTAGTTTCAAGTACAGCAACCACATCAACCTTTCTCCTACTGAGGACTTGCATCAAGTCCCTCTGTTTGGAGTTTTTATTAAACCCCCTCACATTCCAAAATAAGAAAATCATCAAGAAGTTGAGGGTTTCCCCCCTCCTCCCTTCCACTGGTCCCTCTTTGCATCTTTTTTCTTTGGAGCATCCATAATTCTACCTGATTCCTTATCTCCCAAATGGCCCAGCACACTAAAAGAAGAGGTTGATGCTTGAATAGCACCCTTAGCTTTATCAGGTGCCCAGACCCTAGGTTTTGCACCATTGACAACCCTTTGAAATTCATCCTCAGTAGGCAACTTAGGTGAAGCAGACCCAGCCACTGCTGCAAATGATTTCTCCAAATTTTGAGGAGCAATCCTGCCCGCATCAACCAGAGGTGGACTAGTAAATATAGCCTGCAATTGGGGATCAACAATCTCCTGTACTTCCTTACCCTTTGCACTCTCTGGCTTAGTAGCCGGATTATCCTGCACCCCCTCTGTAGTAGCTGCTTGAACCGGTGAAGGACGAATTTCCTGTGTTGCCACAGGCACCCACTACTTCCCATGATGTGCAACACATGCCCCTGAAACCCCAAAGATCTTGCATACTGAACAGACAGGAGGCAAGT